TGAGGGGAACGGAGGGGGAGGGGGGGGGGGGGGGGGGGGCAGGCAGGGGGTTGGGGTGGACAGCACAGCACAGCATTTCATTGTAATGCCTGAGAATTGGTCCATAGTCGAGGTAGCTATGGAAACAGCAGGTCACGTATTTTCCAAGGATTCTTTTACAAATATTTGAGTAGCTCCAAAGGGAATTTACAAGATGAAAGATTTAGTTGTGAAAAGTAAACATTTTATTCAGTCTGGTCCACTTTAATTGGAAATGTGGAATTGGAAATTACTATTATTATAATTGATTTGTCATCTCAAAATAGTCTTATTTATTTTTTGCATTCTGATGATTATATGATTGTATGATTATCATCAATCATTATATGATTATAATCAATGATTATTGATATGTAATATTTGGTTGAATCACATGTCACGCTGGAAAACCACTGGTTTATTTCCAAGTATGGACAGTTTTTTTGTGTTTTTTTATTTTTTATTATTGTATTTCTGAGTAATCTGAGTCCTGCGATTTACTGTCACAGTCCAAAAATAGGCAGATTAGGAATTGGATTACTTTAAGACTCTTTGTGGAGCGTGGATATATCTATACGGCTGACTTGTTTGTTTCTATGTGTGGCCTTGTAAGGACTGGTGACCAGTCCAGAATGCACTCTTTCATCTATTGAGTGTCACAACAAAGTCTTGCATTGATTAATTAAAAAATAAATTACGGCATTTAATATTCTAATGATCATACCTCTGATTCATACGCCTCCTGCTATTTACTTACTTTGCCCTGTTTTCGCTTCAACCTCATTCATTCCTACAAGGTCTGAATGAGTCAGTGCTGATCATGAATAGGAGTCAGGAGGAGCAGAGTTTTTACAGTGTGGAGGAGGCAGAGTGGAGACAACAGAGCTGCACCGGTCTCTGAAGGTTAGATATGAGAGTGGATGTTGCTGAGCAAGCTTCGTCACAGCAGGATCAGTCACCACTCTCACTGCAGACCAAACTCCCTTCATTTTCCATTGTTTCTTGCTATACCACTCTCTTATGTTGTTGTTCCTTCTTTTATCATCTGTTTCTCTTGCTCCCTACTTTTTTACCCTGACACTTGGTAACAGCATTGATGAACAATATCCCAGCATTTCTTTCCATTTCCTTGCTTTATTGCCTTTCTCTTTCTAGAATCACTTCCAAGTCAATCTCTGCTTCTGGTGCCTGACGTGGCCCAAACATTAAACACAAACATTAAACTAGGGTCAATGATATACCATAAAAACCTCTCTAAAACACTTGATCACACACTACTGCATTTCTGAGAGCATGGGCCATAATGTCTGCCTGCATTAGTGATGTTAAGACTAGCTGGCATTAGCTAAAAATATTTTTTTGTATTATTTTTTTTTATCAACACTTTTACATTGGATTTTCCCTCCTTGTATTTCTCATGTGAACATTGACACCTCGTCAAATTTTCCAAATATTGCTGATGTTGGATTTGCCTCACACCTTGTACACTTGCTTTGTTGCTTCTATCTCAATTTGCAATATCTTTTTTCGGCATGCTAATTTGCATCCAAACACCTTGAACGATTTGGCTGAACAAACCATGAGATGCTTTGGTTGCTGACTTGACATAAAACAAGAGTGAAAAGCCAATAGTGGCAATGGAGAACTACTAATCCATTATCTCCACACGTGAAGAAAGCCTTTAATGGTTTGTCCTTCACGTGCTATGGTGAAGGACTGTTGCATAATTTGATTAAAGTGAGCCGGTGGTGCGCCATACGTACCTTATTGGCATGCGTCCCTCGATGTCCACTGACGTCTGCCCCGGCCGCATGTGTGGTTCTACATGATGTAGCGCTGTTGCTGCGCCAGCATATTTCTCAAGCCAGTGACTCTAACCTGGCTGCCCTTCAGACCGACTGTGTCTCTTCAATCCCTTCATCCCACCTTACTGATCCTAAACTATTGCAGCTCTGTGCCAAGCAGGCAGGTTGGGGTCGGGCGTCGAGTCAGGCACTATTTATGACCCTTTTTGTCCTGGGGTCTGAGGAAATGCTGTTAATGTGATAGATGAAGTAGTAGGAGACATGCTGACATCACCATCAAAGAGGGATAAAACACTGCTGCCCCTCTCTGAAGATTGGAGGGTAAACGAATGGCCATGCTTGGTGATCAACTCTTGCCTCGGGGGTTGAACAGCTGGGTTCTGGTTCAAGCCAGGAAATGTTCTTAAAACATTGCGTCCTATATCTTGGGCACCAGAAAGGTCAGCTGTCAGCTGATGGCAAAATCTTTCTTGAGGTGAATAGAGAATACCTTCTCTAAATTAGTGTTGAGTTAAACTCATGCCTGCTGCCTTTCACAGTTTATTTACACTTTATGAAACATCTTCATTCTGGGGATCTAAACCCTATCCCTCCAAAATCCTGTGTTTTGCAGTTGAAGGCAATGGAAAAATACTGCTTTCAGTTCACTACCGTGAGCTTTGAGGCACGTTTTAAGTGACATGATGGCAATAATACGACAGGAACCCTTGGCATCTCTGCCAACTATAATTAATTGTCATTGTCTCTGGGTGGTAATATCCTGTATCATTGTGTGAGGGTTTGAATGCTGCAGTGAACTACACCACAACCAACAGGATATGAGAAATGTTCAAAGTGAAAGGAGTTAAATGGATGCGATATGTGTGAGACAAAAGAAAGAAAAAGTGAAGTGAAGGTTCAGACGTTTGCTGAACTAAACACAGTCCTGGGGTCTGAGGAAATGCTGTTAATTTGCTTCCTTTGGTTAAAATAGTCAAGAATGTACAGATGATTTGTGTGGATGAAACTGTGACATGAACGTAGGCTGTAAGAGATGAACAAACACTATAAAACAAATAAACAAATATAAATCTTTCATCAAAATCAACATGCTTTACTAATAATTTTCTGAAAAAGTCTTAAAAAATCAAAAATGACCAATATTGTTTTTATTTTAAATTCTGCATTTTTGTTGAAAGGATCGGGGCATGGCCTCAGTGTAACCCATTTATGCCAGCAAGACTGCAGCACTGTTATGGTTCCTGAACTAAACACAGAACCAGAATGGCAGAATGATGTTAAATATAAATTAGAAAAATAAATACTCTTTATTGATTTTTATTTTTATTTTTTATTTTTTTAAGAAACCGAATGTGGTTCATACCAGTACCTGCCTGCAGAAAAGACCAACCATAGATTATTTTTGGCTAAATGCTGCTTCTTGTTATTAGTCCTTTATTCCATCTGCTGTACAGATATGTTCAAATACTGGCACCGAGGGAAGAGACATGTAGAGCCGCAGACTGGGGTGAAATGAGTATTTAAGTTTCCGCTCTACTGGAAAACAAACTTTACACAAGCAAGTGTGTGTTTGTCTTCATGCATAAGCGTATTATGTAACGTGTCTGGAGGAAGGCTTCTCTAGACCTGAGGGAGATTAAACATTTTTGGATGTCACTCAGGACGTGAATCACACCCCGGTGCCTGAGCAGCTGGGTTTAAACTGTTGGAAATAGCAGTACAAATACACTCAATGTGTGTGTGCACACACACTGCCTCACTGCCACTCCACTGCATTTGTTGTCAGGCTGTTTTGACAAGAAAATTAGAATTTTAATAAAGATTCAACTTGCAGCAAAGAATTTGTATATGTGCAGCCACACAACCATCGTAGTCACACATTCATGTGCACACACAAACAGCACATCCTTGCTTGCAGCAATGTTCCAGGTGTAATTATAGAAAGTTTGCCCCGTTTACGGCCTGCTTTAATGCCTTGGACTCGTGTTGCCACTGGATTTCCGCAGGGTTTTTTTTCCACATGTTCAACTAAGCTTATCTTACTTTAATGAGTTTTTCCCCTTCCTGTAGAAGAGTTTCAATGTTTCATTGGTTCAGCCAAGCGATGGCCTGAGAGCCCCTGTGAGTAAATGCCCCTACGCTTGAACTGTGGTGCACAAGTTCAGGCAATCTGCGGGTTGGCCCTCAGGTCAGTTTGAGACCTCTGGAGCTATCAATTTGGTTTTTACAGTCTCTTCACAAGCTTTAAATAACGACCTGAGGGCTGCTGAGTTCCAACTCATCTTGAAGCAGGTGTTCTGAAACCCTGAAGGTCTGAATTTTAAAAGTAACAGTGGGATTTCAGTAGCGTTAATGAGCAAAAGTGATAAAAAAAAAGCAACTTACTGACTGTAGTTCCTGACCTTTTCACTTTTTTTAATTAGCTATCATGTATGTGATGGGAGCCCTCGGACCTGCAGCTGGCTACCTGCTGGGTGGTGTCCTCATCGGCTTCTACGTCGACCCCAAAACTGTAGTGAACATCGATCAGAGCGACCCTCGCTTTGTTGGCAACTGGTAAAGACATATGCACATCTGCGTGGCTGTCTGTATGATTTTTTTTTCCATTAATTCTACACCCTCTCTTCTTCTGTGTCTTCCCAGGTGGAGCGGCTTTCTCTTGTGTGCCATAGCCATGCTCCTGGTGATCTTCCCCATGTTTGCCTTTCCCAAAAAGCTGCCTCCACGGCACAAAAAGAGGAAGAAGAAAAAGATTGGCTCTCCTGGTGATGTGTCCAGCGATGACGACGTGATGAAGGAAAAGTCGAGCAGCAAAGGCCAGAACGTCTCCTCCTCCATGGGCTTCGGAAAGGACATCAAAGGTGAGGACCAGATTATTATCGGCCTTTCTTTTACCCTTTAAAATGTGAGGTGTTAATGGAAGTTCTTCTCACAAAGGAACAGTGAACTATTGATGTACAAATGGCCCATAATCCAATCAATAGGCACAATTAGTTAACTTAACAAAGAGGGAAAGCTTCCTTGGAGGAGTTATTGATTAATGATGGAAGAGGTTATCAGGATTTGTTGCCAATGAAGCGCATTATTTACTGTAATTATGGTTTAGTTTAACTACAGACTGCCTCTGGTTTACCTTAATTAGTAGTAAACATGGCAGAAGACATTGATGGATGGAGGTGAAGACCTTTTCAAAGCTTCACAACCGTGTTAAGGAAAGTGAGCATGTGACATAATGTCACGTAATCTAAACAGACTTAAGATGAGCTGATAAGAATTTGGTGCTAAAACCTCAGAGGTCAAAATTAGCGTGACCCTGAGTCTGAGCCCATTATGTGCACAGAATCCATGCCTTCATACTCCAGCTCACACAATATTATGTTGATTGACACTTCATTACCTTAAAATACACAAATAAACTAATATTTATAATTTGGTTTAAATATTTTTGTTCCATTGAAACTGAATATGTTTATCCTTGGAATGTAATGTTTAATTATTGGAAATTATTAATACACCTTGTGACAAAGCTAGTGGTTAATTAGAGGAAAGATCCAGGTGTTCTCCACCAGTGCTGTGGCAAAACATGTGTATGTGTGACCTAATTTAAAAATAATAGCCAACCATCTGATTTAACGCCTACTTTCATACCATGGACTACCAAGACATAATGGCCAAATTCAAGCTTTAAGTCAGCTTTTTTACACATTTCTTTTTGCAAAATAAAACTGCCTTTTTAAAAGTAACAGCCTGTAACTGTGAACTATTGGATACCATTATTTATGAGCCATCTGCTTGACTGGGAATCTCCTGCTTTTCTCTGGGAGAGCCCCTCTAGACATGAAGAATCCCGCTCCAGTGTTTCCCAATTTTCTCTTGTCTAATTTTTTTTCACTCACCCAGACAGACTCTCCCTCTCTCTCCTTCACTATTGCTTCTTTAAATGAGCTCTCCGGGGAATTCAGTCACATTTCCACACACGGGCACCGACAGATGGAGTAGCAGAGAAGACTAACACAAACGTGCATGTTTGCGCTTACACTCTCCATCTTTGACTGAATTGCTATCATAAATTCTCCATCTACTCTATTTCAATAGATGCATATGGTTATCTGCATAGCTCGCAGCAGTCGAGGCAGGATTTTTTTTTGTCTTGGAGAGCAGATAACTGATGAAGCATGGTACATTTTTCAACGACGTTTTAGGCAGTTGTGCAAGCTATGGCTAATTTTGCCAACATAGGCGTTTCACTCAGTGTGTATGAAATATACTTTTAGTGCTGTGCGCGTCCTTTTACTGAGGTTTGTCTTGTTTACTGTACAAAATCAGCACTTTTTTTGTTTGAAAGACACTCAACAAAAGTGGCTGTTTTTTTCATCAGGCACATTTATGTGTACCTCTTAGATTGAATGTACACATTGAATATTGCCTACACATTATTTTTCAGAGCGACATGGTTTTGATTAGGGATTGTTGTAGACCTCGCTCTGTTGCTGCATGAAAGCAAATAATGAGCAATTCATCGACAATACAGTTGATTTTAATTTATATGCATGAATATCTGCCTCTGCCTACATTGTTATTACAGCTGGTGAGAAAAGACGTAAGAGTCCACTAGAGTGCTGAACCAACAGATATGAGTTACATCGCTCCCAAGTTCACCGTAGAGAAGGAATAATGTTTTGAATGAACATTTTTTAAAAACATTTTTAAATATTTTTTGTAGCTGAATATGTAGAAAAAAATAACTAACATAGTATTTAACGTCAAACATTATCTTGACACAGTGCATAGACATACTGTAGGTGTAAAAGTGCAGACAGAGCAGCTAATGCTTTATATTCATATTTCATTTCATATTCCCAAACACAGTACAGCAGATGCGTATCGGCACTGATGTCACTCCAAACAGATCTGCTGTCAGTCCTGATGTGACTGATCTATAAAATACAGGTCTTTCAGCATTAAGTCACTGTCAGAAAATGGCATTTTAAAATATTAGTTACACATTTGCAGTCACACTGTCTTGATGACTCACTTTGGGACATAGTTCTTCTGAATTACAATCATGTCAAATGAGGACAAAGTTCAGTGTCAGCTGTTTTTAAGAAACAGTTCTATAATCAACTGCCAGGCAGAAATCAAATAGTTTAAAGCCTAAGAACTGAAAGAAAAAAGTGTTTATAATATCAGTGGTTCCTACAGCTGGTCTGATCATATTATCTCAAATATTAGTTTTATGTCAAATATAATGGCAGGTTTGTTCTCCATAATGGAGAAGCCAAACTCTCATACCCGGGAAAACCAGATTAGATGCAAGTCACAAGAAATTAACATCCATACTTGAACACTGACAAATGCTAACATTTTCCCACCTGTAACACCATAATCTGAATCAGTGCTCTGGGCTTTATCCCCAATAAAGTCACACCACAGTTCTACAATAATCTCCTGACTAAAGGCGATCATAATCCACTCTACACACTTCATCCCTCTTCTTTTGTTCTTGCTTGCCTTGAAGGCATTTTATTGAATCACATGAGGCAGCCATAGCCCCCATGATGTCCTTATGACATAAAGAACCCACTGATCTGATTCACATTTTTTCCCCGTTATTCACTAATGCAGTTATTTCCCCGTGTTGATTATTCTCTCCATTATGACAACAAAATACCTTTGACCTTACACCAAATGACCGATCAATCTTAATTACCCTGCTATTTCAACTGTCTTAGAAAAGTTGTTACACTTTCTTAAAAAAAAAAAAAAACCCAAATCAGCTGATGCAATGACCCTTGCAAAAAAAAAAAAAAAAAACCAAATCAGCTGATGCAATGACCCTTAAACCTTTATTAACCAGACATGGAATTGCACTATTTTTTTTTTATCGTATCTATGAACTGTTTGTGAAAATAATACATTTGAGACTTGAATTAGAGGCGAGTTTAACTCTTTGGGCTTTTTACATTAAATTACTTTTGCTAATTGTTTGGAAAACAAGAATACCTCAGGATAAAGAGTCTGCAAAGACCAACCTGCAAACTAAGAAACCTTCCAGAATATTCCTTCAGTTAATTTTTCAGTCCTAATTGGAATGTGTCCCAAACAAACAAATAAACTAAACTGCACTGTTTTTAAAATTAATATCATCGTTATAATCCCTAAACATTCGCGGTACAAACAAATAAACAAAAACTCTGTACCAAACACATACTTCATCAGTAGTTGGCAGCGACTCCCTACAGCATGTCCTGAATCTTCCTCAGGACATCCCATAGTAATCGTGTCCAAACTACTCGAGCTCCCTCTACAGTGCAGCACCGCAGCCTTTTAATGTGACGTCCCTGTGGACTGCAGAGATCCTCATTCTGTCACACTGCTCCTGAAATCTTACACCTCAGCTGTGTTGAGATGGAGGCGCTGGAGGATAGAGACCCGGGAAGAGTGTCTTCAATGACCTTGAACCTCTGTAGGAATATTGGAGAAAAACGCCAAAGTAGAAACAAAGTATTAAAATAGTTTACCTCCTGCAGACTGAGATTTTAAACGCTGCATTGATCATGATTTGATGGGACTTCAGGTTGCTTTTACTTCTGCATAGGTGTTGTTAACTAGATTATTATCAAATGTAAACACTCCGTATGTATGCTGCCTTTCGTCTGCCTTCCCTTAATTATACTTTGCCAAGGAGATGATTTTCATGGAGTAGTAGAGTGTATGTAGGAGACAAATTAAGACTACTTGGTTGTGTGTTAATTACAGCCGCATGATAATGAGGTTACCTTGTCTCCTCTTTCCCAGACCTCCCTAAGGCAGCTCTGAGGATCCTCAGCAACATGACCTTCCTCTTCGTCAGTTTGTCCTACACGGCTGAGTGTGCCATCGTCACCGCTTTCATCACCTTTATTCCAAAATTCATTGAGTCACAGTTTGGTATCCCTGCCTCAAATGCCAGCATCTACACGGGTAAGTGTGGCTGTGAAAGCTTTACTGCAGACGCAGGTTTATTTCCAGTCTTTCTGTGAGTCAGTGCACTCTGTGTCCCCTGTGGGCTGCCACCAGACACGTGTGGGAGCCTGTGATGACAGATTCTCTGCCACATGCCTCTTAGCAGCAGCAGCAGTGGCAGAAACGCTCTGTTTTCTTTTTTCAATTTGACAAATGATTAATTGTAAATGAATGGCTGTTGTTGGTTGTCAAAAAATGGATTTATTAGTTAAGGAACTGGTTTAGTGCCTGATTCAAGTAGAAGTATTGACTTGTATGTAATATTGACAAATATTGACGTGTGTAAATACATCAAAATGTACTGGCAAGTGTTTAAAGATTGATTTAAGGTGTTGTCTTAAACAAAAAACCCAAAACAAAACAGACAAGCTTACGTTGTGTGCATAGCTTAGATTGTATGATTTCATCAAATTATATACAAACAGTCTATATATATGTATATATATATTCTATTAATTTCATGGAGTATTTTACATAAACATTGATTTCTAATTAAAGTAATCATAGGTTGGAGGATTCAAAAATATATGTAGGATGCAGATCAAAACATAAGTAAAATCTATGTAATATATATACATACAAACACAAATAAATAATATATATATATTTATATATATATATATATACTGTTTTTTTTCTGGTTCAACGGATGCCTTTAATCTGAACTCAGGAACAACATTTGGGCCACATAGTGTATTGGGTACCCAAGTCCGTACTGGGTTTGATTAGCTGCTGAAGTCCAAGCGTCTTAGCCAGATCGCAGACTGTTGGTGCCCGGGATCAGAACCTGAAATAGCAGCTTCTTTGACAGAAGAATCCATTATTTCAAACCTTGACTTTAAAGTGTTGGAACTTGAGTATTGGGTCCTTTCTAAAATAAACCAAGCAATGTGACCTTGATCCTCACCCTTGACAAGGTAATAACTGATACACTGTAGACTTATCAACCAAGACCAATGATACCGTGTGCACCGTTAGTCTCTCGGTCTATGCTCACATTTGTTCCCTCCTTTCCATGTCCGCACAGTGATTCATGGCTGTGGCAGAAAGAGCTATGACTCATGGACTCTTGCAGACTTTGATACAGTGATAAGCTTCCCATAGACCCCCCCCTCCTCACCCCTTCCATCCCCCATCCCCATCTATAACACACACAAATCTCAGTTGACTGCAGGAGATGAGGTTATTATATTACTCACGTGGATTCACACACACGCACACACACACGCAGTCCCTCTGCTCTGTACAGTATACAAAGGACTGGTCTAATCCTCCAGTCGTGTCTGAGCCAGTGATGCTCACACACATCTGATCTGACACACAGTGATAGAATTTGTGGCTGCTTACGTGCATGTGTGTTTGTTGTCTGACATATGGTCATTTCCAGACACACATGGGTAAACACACCTCCTCATACACAATGCCACTGCCTCATCGTATCTGTTAGTTGCCAGGATACAAGGGTAAGGGCAAACGAGTGGTGTGGTTGCCATGGTTACCCAGACGATGCCAAGCTGCTCGGATGTAATGACGAGGTAGAGAGGATGAGAAGACACAAGAGTTTTGATTTGTCCATCTTAGACTCTGTTACATTACCAAGGACAATAAGAGACCTGTATTCTTTAAATTGATCAATCTGGAGTATTAAAACATTAAATGTTTAATTCCCCGTTAATAATAATTTATAAAAACCTGTCTGTTTTTTAAAACGTCCCTACATATTCTACATTATTCTACATGGTCATTCAAACATTTTTTATCCAATTGAGTGCACAGTCTGAACATGAAAAATAAAGTTGCTTTTTGTTTCTTCTTGGCTTTTTGTTTTTACCAATTAATAGCCAAACAGCAGCCTTATCCTTAACTGCTGATTGGTGTGAAAATAAAATTGGCACACAAAGATGTCAAACTATTAACAGTTAAGTCACAAATTACCACCTTTTCCTTTACCCCTCGCCCCGGGTGAGAGCCGTATGTATATATATATATATATATCACAGGCATCTCTGAGCTGCCACCGTTTCTTCTCACTCTCTGTGGGATTTTTTTCTCATCTCACTTTCTGCAGGTTTAAACATCACTTTGCTGCTTATAAACAGGTCTGTTTCCAATTCCAACTGACTGAGGTTGGGGCATTTTCTTTTCAGTACATACAGACTTACAAAGTTTAAGACAAATTTAGTTTCATTAATTTAATTTATTCAAGATTTTTAAGTTTTTTTTCTGAACAAGAAGAAAGACTATAGAGTGACAGGCAAAAAAAAAAATCTTCATTTGACAAAGGCATTTAAAAAAAGATTTAATTCAGGGTGGCCAGGTATGAAAATATTCAATGACTTTTGGAAGAAAACCTGTGTTTTGATTTAGCATTTCATTTCATTAACCTAACCTACAATACCATCTTAAAAATACTGGGCCTCATAATAAATGTTGATTACACATATTCTGGTTTGTAAAAACCTTTACTCATCTAGTATTCTTTTTGTTATTTCCTATTCTTATTTTTGTTGTTATTTATGTATAATTTTGTTTTGATCGATTACACTATTTTTTTAAATTCATACACAGACACACATTCATCAGAACCTGCTAAAACATGTGCATATATTGCATAAGTAGTACACTGTATAAACACAAAACTAACGTGTCCTATCTTACCGTGATATAATACCTACTTTGGCCGTGCATGTGTAATCCTGCAGAGCGCTCACGCTAGCAGGGAACATGCTCATACAAAGATAACATTATGCTGCAGCTGTCTGACGCCCAGCTCCTACTGTGCACCCGTATCATCACAGCACTCACTTTCTATCTCTGCCTCCACTGCTCCTTCAGCTGCTTTTTCTTGAGCTTTGTCAGACACAAAGGCAGAAGTGACCTGACATTTCTGTGTGCTCGAATCACATCTCTGCTGATCGCTATCTCTGACAACTTCCTGCCTCTGCTGACAGACCTCAGCTGGCACGTTTTCCCTGGCCTTTATGGCCACAGTCTGGTTAGTGGGCTTCCACGTGCAGCCTCTTGGCTGAGTCAAACTTACGCTTTGCAGCGTCCTGCCAACGGCCACCGCTGCCTTTTACGTATTCCCAATTAGCTGTAGTGGACGTAGAGCATGATGACAGTCTTTTCTGTGCAAACTGAGGAGAAAAGACTATTTTTGTTCCTGGTTTGATGTGGGGTTTTACTTCAGGTTTGACATGTTTTTTCTCTCCTTGCACTGATCCAACAGAGTGCACAACTACGCCCCTATAAAAGCCTGACGATCTAATTATTATTCATGTGACTGCACTAATGGAAATGCTGTCCATCATATGCTTTTGAATCGCAGTTGTGTTCCGCAGTAATTTATTCAGCGCTAACGTTCTGTCATGATACAATGACTTGTTCTATTTCTGTTTGCAGCACACGTGAACCTTTTCCTGTCTTCTTTTACACCTAACAGGCTTTTTACTTTGTCTGACCTCCATCACAGGTGTCATCATTGTACCCAGTGCTGGAGTGGGCATCGTGCTGGGAGGCTACATCATCAAGAAGCTGAAGCTGGGGGCCAGAGAGTCGGCCAAGCTGGCCATGATCTGCAGCGGGGTCTCTCTGCTCTGCTTCTCCACACTCTTCATCGTGGGCTGCGAGAGCATCAATCTGGGAGGAATCAACATTCCCTACA